CTATATATGTAAGTTTAGGTAGGTCGTGTTTATCCAAAAATGTATCCATCTCTTTTAAATTTTCAAATTTGTTGAAGTATAACTCTTCATAGTATTCTGTTATTATCCTTTTGATTTCCTCTGGTTCCGTTGTGACCTCACCCATGTTAATCAACTTTTTAAAAAAGACAAATACATCATTTTTGACATAATCTCCTTGCTTTTCGATACACCTTGTCCATCTGTCAACAAGCTTTTGTATACCCTTATTAAAAAATGTTTTAGGGTGAGCTGAGAGCCATGAATGCACCACTGTCTTCACTTCTTCATCAAAGGTGAGTCTTTGTCCTTGAAGGGCTGCATTCATGGAACCACACAGGTGAAAGTCCAATGGAGCAAGATCAGGACTACAGGGAGGATGATTTAACATCTGAAAAGGAAGTTTTTGCAGTGTCAGCAGTGTCATCAAAATCACAAGGCCCTTCCTTAGATAGTAGTCCTCTGCATTTAATCCAAAGTTTAGGCTTTAGCTCTTCAGTCAGGGAGCATCTCATTGTAATGAGCACTGTTGGTTGTTGAACCTTTTTCCTGATAGTGTCTAATACTGATCCTTAAGAATTCCAGAAGACTGTAAGCATCAATTTTCCAGATAATGATTGACTTTTGGACTTTTTCTTGGTCAGCAATTGACAATGTTTCCATACCATATGCCATTTACTCTCAGATTTGTAGTGATGAATCCATGTCTCATCACTGGTAATGATTTTTTTAAAAGAAACTTTTACCTTCCTTCCAGTGCCAGTCCAAATTTTGTTTGCAGATGTCCAAATGTTTTTGTTTCTTCTCTTCCATGAGTTGTTTTGGTATTCATGTTACACAAACTTTTCAAAACCCAAGTCTGTCATGGATTATTTCATAGGTAGAATCATGGCTGATTTGCAAATTATTTGCCACATAATCTGCTGTCACTCATCTATTTGACAGAATCATTTCACGTGCACGCTTAGTGTTGTCATCAGCTATGGACATGGATGGGTGTTTTAATATAATCAGAGTGTGGATAATTTTTGACTCATTTTAATATCTGTAGTACATGTACATATATACTAGGTGTATATCTATATGTTTATATTACACCTACCTTCCAAACTGAAATTTTGCCCAAGTTTCCCATCATTTTAGACAATTAAATAAATACGGATAAAAAAGACTTTTTTTAATCAAATAAAAGTAAATTTATATTTCTGAGAGGAAAAAAAATGCTGCAATAAATTTGAGCATTAAAATGTTCTCCAGGAGAAGATATATAACTTGGGAAAGTATTAGGTAAAATATAACATTAAGTCTTATCGTTTTTGTTTTTGTGTTTATGTTCTAGTATTTTAATATGTTTTATCCAGTGAGGAGTCAAAAGGAAGGGCATGATTATTTATACATATGAATGTAAGATTTAAAGTTTTTCCAGTAAGGGAGACAATATGTTTCCCTAATGCCGAGAAAAAATAATTGTATCCCAAAACTGACATAGTTGTTTTGGATTCTATAAAGCAGGAGATAACATTTTGAATTCCAAACTTCATTGGTGAAAGTAGAACAAATTAGAGTAAAACTAGAAAAGTTAATGTGTTGGTTAAAGTTTATTCTAAAACATCAAAAGTTAAATACTCTTCAAATGTCAAATTTAATGAAAATTTACTTGCCACAGATTGAAGAAAACAAATAATCACAGTATAAATAGATTATAGTAGTCTAAAATGTTGCGGCTAAAATATTTATAAAAATACATTTATCTTTCTTTTCACTTTGATTTGACAGGTTGTGTTGGATATAAACTTTGATTTTTTGGAGGGGAGGTGTTAATGAGGTCACTTTTTTCTTAACTACGTGTTGGAAACTCTTGAGTGACATGAAGTAGAATCAGCATTTGATTTACGCTTCCATACTTCAAAACATATTCTTGAAAGATACAATGTTATGTGACTACTTTTTAATATAATTTTCTTATTTTGTTATTGTTGAGAATGTTGTTGTTGTTGTTAAGTACCGTGGAGCCGGTTCCGACTCATAGTGACCCTGCACAGTGTTTCCTAGGCTGTAAATCTTTACAGGAGCAGAACACCTCATCTTTCTCCCATGGAATTGCTTGTAGTTTTGAACTGCTGACCATAGGGATGGCAGCCTGACTCGTAACCACTACACTACCAGAGATGTACACCAATTCAACAGTTTCTACATGTATCATTTAGTGCCATTGATTACATTCTTCAAATTGTGTAGCCATTCTCATCCTCCTTTTTTACTTGTTCCTGTTGTTGTTGTTGTTAAGTGCCATCGAGTCGGGTCCGACCCATAGCGACCCTGTACAGGGTTTCCGAGGGTGTAAATCTTTACGGGAGTAGAAAGCCTCATCTTTCTCCCGCGGAGAGACTGGTAGTTTCGAACCGCTGTTCCTCCCCTCCTAAAATAAATTCATTGGCCCCTAATGTTCTTATCTAATCTTTTGAGTTGCTGTTGTCAATTTGATCCCTTATAGATAATTCATAAAAGAGCATGATGCTCTAGACCAGGGTTAGGGAGCACCCGGCCTAAGGGCTGTATTGGTATTAAATGCCGTCGAGTCGATTCTGCAAGGAGTTGCTGGTAAGTTTGAACTGCCAACCTGTGATTCAAACAAACCTTTCAGTCCAGTACTTACTGTACAGTGCCACACCAGGACACTGAGGGCCATATAAAGCCAATGAAATCATTTAGTCTGGCGCTGCCAAGACAATCACAGTTCAAGCGATCACATTGTTGTTGTTAACTGGCATCAAGTCAGTTCTGATTCATAGTGAGACCTTGTATAGGTTTCCAAGGAGCAGCATGGTAGGTTTGAACTGTACACCTTTTGGTTCACAGTTCAGTGCTGATTCATAGCACCACACCAGCCATCACATCAGGGTGAGTTAATTAAGTGTTTGACTAAATATAGCAAGATAATTTTTAAGTTGATAATTTTGTATGGCCCATGAATGATGTTATAAGTTTTGGAAGAAAAAAGGTTCCCCACCCGTGCTTTAGATACGCATTTTTTCTAGTTAACTTAAACTACTGCTTGGTTATAAGAAGACTTCAGGGAGTATTTTTTATTTATAGTTTAAATATTATCTCAGGGCAATAGTTTTAAGGATTCACCCAACCTTTATGATTCCAGGAAGTCTGAAATTCACGAGTACTTGAAAATCATTTCTGTTTGTACCCTTTTTATCAGAATCCTTCCATGAACTTTTTTGTATTTTTAACTTTTTATTATGATTTGACTAAAGGTTAACAAAGCAGATCATGAGTTTTACACTCAACTGTTCTTACACTTTCCTGATTGCAGTCCATTCTGTATAAAAACATCCCACTTTCTCCCCGTGGTTCTTATTTCCATTCCATTCACCTTCCCAGCCCTTCGGAACTGTCCTTAGGTAAATTTTGCCCTTTTGATCTTGAATGGTTGACCATTCTATGGTGAGCATACCTTATTAGTGTTGTTGTCCCCACTATATACCTATCTACTGCTTGGCTGAAAATGGGGCTAGAGGGTCAGTCTACTAATAAATTCATTTTTTAAATCAATGAAAAACATTAGCTCAAATATTTTTGTTTGTTTTATTTCTTTTCTTCTATTATTTATGATTTTTCAGTGGTAAATATGTAGGTACCAAAAGAATGCCTTTTTGAAAACTAGCTCCACAGTTACCAACTGGAGTTATTGAAATTTTATATTATTGAAATTATCTGAGATAACTAACTTAAAAAGCAAATTAGAAGATTAATAAATACTATTTATTTAGCATCAGTGGGCTCAAGCAAGGCGACAATTATGAGATTGGCCCAGGACCAGGCAGTGTTTCTTTCTGTTGTGCATAGGGTCTCTATGTCACTATGAGTTGGTACCGACTCAATGGAACCTAACAACAACAACAACAATATTCATGTACAGAATTCCCAAGAGAAATATTTGCTTAAAAATATCCCCTTTGAAGCCGATCACTCATCTACAAGAGCGGGTGCCCATGATTCAAGTGGCTGAAGCTCCCTGAAAGTGACATTAATAATGAAACAATACAACTGAGCAATTCTAATGGCCCATCACTAAATAAATATTTGTGAGATAAATCTAGAAAAATATTCAAAAGAGAATGACAAGAGCCAAGTCCTGGATAAACTTGCTGAAGGAAAAGAGCAAGTATATTACGTGTTCAGAAACCCCAAAGCCAAAAGGCCAAACCAGTTGTCATCAAGTCATTTCCAAACCATGATAATCCACATATGTAAGAATAGAACTGTGCTCTGTTGAGTTGTCAGCAATTGATATTTCAGAAGTAAATGACCAAGTCTTTCTTGTGAAGCACCTCTGAGTGAACTAGAATTACCAACCTTTAATTTAGTATTCTAACATGTTAACTACTTGTGCCACCCAGAAACCATATTCAGAAACACAGTCTGTGGGAATGGGACTTCTTTCATTACTTTAAAGTCATATGACAAATGACAGAACTTTGGGCTAGTGTCATAAAACAAGAGGGAGATACTTGTTGTTTTATCACAAAAGCAAAACGACTTGCACTCTTGGATCCCAGATGACCACGTAGAGAAGATCTCAGACGCATTTTTTTGCTTAATGCTCAACAACTGACTTAACATTTTAAAATTTCACTCTTCACCCAGATTATGATATGAAGAGCAGTTACACAATTTATGTTTGGAATCAAACTAATTTTGAATCTTTGAAGCTAATAACAAAACACAGTAAAGGTAATGCATTCTTACCATAGGTTTAGTAGGGCTACTTATTGTTGTTGTTGTTGTTGTTGTTGTTAGGAGACTTTGAATTTAAGACCTTAAATTCTTTGCTTTTTAAACAATTGAAAACAAATGAAAGACTAAACTAGTTTTCTTACTGAAAACTCAGAAAGAGATTTCACATTCTGCTGTTACTATGTTGAGTTTCGTTCAAATGTTGATGCAACTGGAGGTAGCAGTGAGCTACAAGAAAAAGGAGAGCACCTCTTAAACAGTGGTTGATTTTTGCCTGCCACAGAAAACATCTTTCTAATTCATGTAACTTATGCCAAGCATAGGTTCTAAGACTAAATTTCAGCAACTGTTCAGTGTTTGATTTGTCAAATATAGAGAGTGTCAGTCTCTCAAACCTAAAGTGAACATGCAAATAATTATTTGATTGTTCAAGCACATAATTTCTTCCACAGTTCCTGGAGAAAACACAGAGTTACAAGAGCTTTTCAAAATTAATTTCCATATAAATTTCTTTTTTTTTTTTTTTTTTTAATGCAGTGGCCTATGCTCTGGATATATAAGCTAGACTCTGTAGAGATTGCATTGTCTGAAGATTGGGTTCATAAATAAGAGATCATATAAATTACAAGGAAAATACAATTTATTAAAAAGAAGAAGGAGGATCACTGAGAAACAGGGTTCCACCTATGTGGTGTTTTCAAATTAAATAATCACTGACATAAAAACTTGTATATGAAGGAAAGTATTCATTTACAATTCTAAATCTTCCATACACTGGAAGCACAGACATACAAAAAATAATTCATATTTATAGAGTATTATAATAGAGTATAAAGCATTGTTGAAGACTGAAACAAGTTGCATGATATCAAATGTCATTTATAGAATTCTAATGATGCTGGGAAAATATTTTTAAACTTTGAATTTTTTAGTAACATGGTACATGTGGTCTCAGATAAAGGCCTTATGGAAATCTAATTATGTCACATGTGTTAAGGAAGCCAAGTACTCTTAATTAAGCTGGTGATTCTTTAAAAACCGATGTTCAACTTTCAGATTTGTTGCAGTGGAATTCTCTACAACCCCCAGCCTGGATACAGCTTTTGTGAAGAGAAATATTTCCCATTTGCTCTGAAATCAATGGGAATTTGTTGTGGTGGCAGAATACAGGAAGTACAACCAGGTCATCAGTGCTACTCTGGGTATTACGCTAGAATTCTACCAGGTGAGGATTTTTCCAGGTGATCTTGATAATTATGTTGTTGTTAGAGACATCAAGTTGGCTCCGACTCATAGCGACCCTGTATAGGGTTTCCAAAGAACAACTGGTGGACTTGAAACACCATCTTTAGGATTAGCAGTCCAGAGATCATGGGAACCTGAAAAAGAAGGGGAGTGGTTCATGTCACTGAACTGTTTCATGCATCTCCCACCAAAACTTGAACTCCTACCACATCCCCATGGCCTGTGTAAATATCATGTTCATGTCTCTGCTTTGGTGACATTTAAGGAATGCTAAGGACCAGTCACCCTGGTGGCACAGTGGGTAAGTGCTTGACAGCTAACTGAAAGGTCCTTATTTGTATTTACAACCTTGGAAACATCATGGTTCAGTTGTACTCTGCCCTGTAGGAACCCTATGAGTTTGGTTGGTGTGAAAACTACATGCAAATGAATGGGGAACACAAGTGTCTTATAGATCTGCTACATAAGAAAATAAGCTGTTGACCTGATTTTGACTCAAGAGCCAATGATTATAAGACACTGTAGAACTGTTTCCTAGGGTTTCCTAGACTGTACATTTTTATGGCAGCAGACAGCCTCATCTTTCTCCCATGCAAAGGGACTGGTGGGTTTGAGGGTTTGAATCTTGAACTTTGTGGTTAACAACCCAGAGCTTAACCCACTGTGCCACCAGCCAGGGCTCCTTGGATAGCCAGATACCCACCCACTGCTGTGAAGTCAATTCCTACTCATGGCAACCGTGTCTAGTGTTTCCCAGGCTGTAAATATCTATGGGCACAGCAACCTCCCTCTTCCTTCCAATGGAATGGCTGGTGGGTTTGAACTGATGAACTTGTGAGTAGCAGTCCAGTACTTATCCTATAGCACCACCCGGGTCTAATTCTTTTTATTTTGTGACTTTCTTTTATTCAAAAGGCGATATATTTTCACCATCAAATCAATACAGTTCTTAATATCCCACTCTATGAAGCTCTTCTCCATGTCCTCTATTTCTATTCTGAACCAAGCAGGCATTATTTTGGGATGGATTATAAACACAAGTTTCTTTTTTTCTGAGAATTCTAGATTACTCTTCGTAGCCTCTAATTACACTAGGCTGAGCAGGAGAAGAAAGAGTGCAGCCAAAAGAAAGATACAGAATTTTACCCTCTCGCTTTGTGTCGTAGGGCAACTGAACTTGCCTTCTTTCTCCCACTTTCTGGTACAAAAAGCCATGTTCTCTTAATGTATTTGAGAATTGTGATAACAAATGCATATTGATAGTAATGATCACAAAGCATCATCAAAGTCACTGAGCGGTTCTAAATTAAGACTACATATTAAAAACCCAAAACTAAACCTTTTATCATCGAGTAGATTCCAATTTATGATTACCCTAAGTCCCGGTGTGGCACTGTAGGATAAGCATTGGACTGTCTCAACCACAAGGTCAGCGGTTCAAACCAACCAGCTCCCCTTTGGAAGTGCTCTGCAGTGTCATTATGAGTCACAACTAACTAGATGGTACTTAGCAACAACAAGCAAGGACAGAGTAAACTGTCTCAGAGTGTTTACAAGGCTGTAAATCTTTACAAAAGCAGCCTGCCACATCTTTGTCCCCCAAGTGACTGAGGGATTCCAGTCACCAACCTTTTCTTAGCCACTGTGGCACCAGAAAATGTTCTTTACATATTATATCTCATATATTCATCATTCTCAGAGATTGGTATTGTAATTCTAGGTTATGAATAAGAAAACAGATTCAGAGAGAACCATAACAAATTCATATATGTGGAAGAGTTGAAGCATTAATCTAAGTGTATCTATACAAAATCAATGCTCTTTTGAGCACTCTTAGAGTATCATGGACTGCCAGGAAACAAACAAATCTGTCTTAGAAGAAGTGTCAAGAACGTTCCTTAGAAGCAAGGATGGCAAGGCTTCTCGCGTACTTTGGGCATGTTTTCAGGAGGGATCACTCTCTGGAGAAGGACAATATGCTTGGTCAAGTGGAGGGTCAGTGAAAAATAGGAAGACCCCCAATGAGATGGATTGACACAGTGGCTGCAACAATGAACTCAACTATCACAACAATTGTGAGGGTGGCTTAGGACCAGTCTGTGTTTTGTTTTGTTGTCACTATGAATGATAACCAACTCAATGGCTCCTAACAACAATAATGATCAGTATTAGTTGCTATCAGTTGAGTCCAACTTATGGAGGCCCCATGTGTGTCAAATTAGAATTGTGCTGTATAGGGTTTTCAGTTGCTGACTTTGGGAAGTAGATTTCCAGGCAAGGTACATAAAGGAAGACTCAAGCCATTTGCACCACTGAAGGAATGTGTGAGTGCTCTACTGCCATCTGGAGCCCCGGTGTGACACTGTGGGATAATGCACTGGACCGCAAGTAAGATGGGTTTGAACCCCACAGTTGTTGGTTCAAATACATCAGTCACTCCTTGGAAACCCTACACAGGGTTGCTATGAGTCCGAACCGACTCAACGGCCCTGAACAATAACATGAACAACTACTGCCATTTGTATAACCAAAACATGTTAACCTTTTTTAGTCTTTTTAAATGACTATTCAAGTTTTCTAAGGAGCTCTGGTAGTGTAGCGGTTACAGGTCAGGTTGCTAACCTCAAAGTCAATTCTTTGAAGCTACTAGCTGTTGTGAGAGAGAAAGATGCGGCTTTCTGCTCCTGTAAAGACTGACAGCCTCAGAAACCATGTACAGGGTCACGGTGAGTCAGAACCAACTCCACAGCACACAACCACCACCACCAGTCAACTTTCATAGACTTTTTTATTCCCAGAAGTGTCATTGTTACTGCATTTTTTTGTCTACCATCTAAATTTCATATTAATGTCTTCTTTAACATACAAAAAAAATGAGAAGTAGAGAAGAAAGATAAGGCTTTGTTGTTGCTAAGTGCTATCAAGTCAATTCCAACTCAGAGTTATTTTATATAGGGTTTCCAAGGAGTCCCTGGTGAGTTTGATACACCAACCTTGTGGTTCAAACCAACCTTACAGTTCAGTACAGTATCCCACAGCACCATTAGGAAATCTGAATTTTTTGAGATATCTTATTTAATTTGAAATCTGTGTCAAACATCTAGTAAATTCAGGCATTAATTGCTTAGTATATCGGGCTGCGAACCTTAAGGTCAGTGGTTCGAAACTACCAGCCGTTCCGCGGGAGAAAGATGAGGCTTTCTACTCCCATAAAGATTTACACCTTCGGAAACCCTGTTACAGGGTCGCTATGGGTCGGAACTGACTCGACGGCACTTAACAACAACAACATATAAATCTATCATGCAAGGCATGTAAGTTGAAAAACATGTCTTACCCCTTGTCTATTTTGCAAAACTCTGGAACAAAAATGGGCATGGCAGTAGTTAAGTATTCTGAACTTTATTCAAAGAGAAAACTTCCACTCTTACTCTTCATAATATTCCCTTACAATTAATAGAAAACTCTGTTTTAATAGCAGTGCTGTTATTTCTAGGTCTCAAGCAAAAAAAAAAAAAAAATGTAATTGAACTCCTAATAAAAGATTTTTCAAATAAGAAAATAAACTAAGGAAATACAGCTATTGTAGAAAAAATGCTAATGTCGTCCTATAACAACTTTTCAAACACTAAAATGCTTTAAATAAATTATAATTGGGGATTCTTCACCTATATCTCATATTTTTCCTTTCCTGGAAAAAGTTGCTTTAAAAATTATAATTTGAAGGGAAGATGGGAATTTCCTGTTAATGCATTCTTAGCCTTCTCCACACCAATAGACATTAGAAAGCTCTTTCCTAAGTTTGTTGTTACAAAAGAGTCAGTTCTGACGCATAGTGACCCTGTATAGGGTTTCCAAGGACAGCCTGGTGAGCTTGAACCACTGACCTTTCAGTTCAAACTGACTTTTCTGTCTATCACATTAACCCCCAACGCAAAACTAGTTTAAAACTAAATATTAGTGTTTCCACTTCTGAATCACATTTTTGATAATTGATGATATGCAGTTAACTGTTCAAACTCTGGAAAAAAAGTTCTAGCTCTTAAAATTTTTGAAAAAAAATTTGGTTGCACCTCTTACTGCTGTTTTGGAGTCCTGGTGTGGTGCTGTGGGGTAATGCGCCAGACTGCAAAGTCATTTGAACTGCAAGGTCAGTGGTTCAAGCTCAGCTGCTCCTTGGAAACCCTGTACAAGGTTGCTATGGGTCAGAACCGACTCGATGGCACTTAACAACTGCAACGATATTACTGCTTTTAACTCTTAGAAGATTTTCTTGTCTTTTTGCTCACTGTTGAACTAAGTTTAATGATGAACTTAGGAGAAAAAAATCATTCTATTTCAAATTAAAATTTTACATTTTTTCCTAATATTAACAAAAGCATCCATGAGCTATAACAAGAACAAAGAAATAAATCATAGAAATACAATACAATACAAATAGATTTATTACAAATGTGAAATACAATGCAAATAGAAATACAAATGTGAATTGTTGATATTATATAAACTTTTTAAAACAAGAATTTATAAACATGCATGGTCCATATGTTGGCACATGCTCACTCAACCCTGGAGTATTTTAAATTCTACCATCCTGTGGAACTAGCTCCACATTCGAATTCCTTTCAAGACATTCATTTTTTACAATATTGGTATGCTTATCATGGAGTCCTGGTGTGGCACTGTTGGTTAACTCGCTGGACGGCAAGGTCGGTTTGAACCATAAGGTCAGCGGTTCAAACTTACCAGCTGCTCCTCAGAAACCCTATAAGGGGTTGCTATGAGTCAGAACTGACTCGACAGCACTTAAAAACAACAACTACGGTATCCAGATGAGAGAACTCCAATCTCATGGAATACTCAGAGTGTTTTTCTCCAATCATTAATCTCAGTGTACCTAAATGAAGAGCTTACGTGGTGACCTCTCTCCTCAGCTACTGGACATTGTTAACTAGTTTGTTGTTGTTGTTGAGTGTTGTT